GACTGCTAGGAAAATAAACAGATTCATCCTGGAAAGGGTGAAACCGGGCTGCTCCTTAGAGGCAAGGATTCTAAGGCTCTGTCTAACATACTTTGGACATGTTGCAAGGAGGGACAGGTCCCTGGAGAGGGACATCATGCTTGGGAGGGTGGAGGGACAGCACAGGAAGGGAAGGTCCTCTATGAGGTGGATTGATTCAGTGACTGAGGCAATTGGGATGGGTGTGTTGGAGATGGTGTGATTGGCATAAAGCAGAGCAAGTGACTCGATGGCACATAATAGCAACAACAACAAAAATGAGAAGATTATTCAGCTAAAATGATAAGATCTTTCTATTGTTGTTGTATACCTTCAAGTCAGAACGAACCCATAGCTGACCCTCCAGTGGGCTTTCAGAGACAGTTAATCACATGGGAGGAGATTGCTCATCTTTCTCCCGTGGAGCAGCTGGCCTCAAACCACAGCACAGCTTCTTGCCACTAGGCCATCAGTGCTCCATAGACCTATAGATCTTGCCACTCTTTATACTTTCATGTCACTCATCCCCAATATGTGTTTTCTTTTACCACTCCTTCTATTCTGTTGTCGAATAACTTTTCACCTTTGTTGAGTTTATTCTCTAGACTGGCTGCTTTAGAATGTACCTTACTTCTCCCAGCTCTGCTGTGGGTAGGTATCCTTTTAGCTTTCAAGCCTTAGCTCAAGTGCACCATCTTCTGGAAATCTTTTCTCATTACCTCTGCTAGCTGCTTCCGCAGTGATGCTTCCATCTTCCCTGCTCTCACATCATGGGCATCACTCTTACAGCTTGCTAGCAGTTTAGCTTTGCACCAGAACTTTACTTTAGATCTTCTCCCTGTTGGAGATTGTGACTTCTTTGGAGACAGGCTTAAGTTTGTATCATGGGCCTTTTGTGTTGCGTTTCACCGTCTTTGCTTTAGCAGCATTCTGGTTGCACTTCCTTGTCTTTGAGAACCTGAGAAATATCCATAAGGCATTTTTCACATATGTCTAGAATTCAACTTCTTAGGCATGCACCTGAGCCTTTCTTGGCCTTTCTTCTACTGTTTTAGTTATCTTGTTTATGTAGTTTGAGTTCGTGTGTAACCTCATAGTAAGCCCCATGGTTCTTAGCCTTATGGAATTCCAGCAATAGGAGAAAAAAACGTTAACATGGCTTAAGAGGACCAGCTGTGCTGTGCTGATTTGCTGCGGGAATCTATCAGAAGGGACACGAAGAGGGTAAAGTTACTTGAAAAAAGAAGAACTTGAACTAATAGGGGAAGGGCAAAGGAGAAATAATAGAGAATTGTTCTCCTAAGGAGCTTAGAATTACTAGCACTCCACCCTCATCCCAGATCTTCATCCAAGTGACTCCTTGATCCCAGAAAGATAGCATAACAGAAAATCAGTTCAGCAAGGGAATTTGACATTTATTTAGTCCAACTCTCCTATTTTATGGCAGGAGAAAATACTGAGTTTTGGAGAGATTAAATAACTTAAATCGTACATGAGTTGGAGGTAGACCAGAAGTAGAATTCAGCTTTTCTGTTTTCAGTTCATTATAAATTCTTCTAGAGCAGAGAATATAATTTTTACTTCTTTGGTTGCTCTTAAAATTTGGCCCGTTTCTCTGTTGGATCTTAGCAGTGGCTACTCCTGTTAAATTAGATAGGTGCTTCCTAGTTCTTTATCACATTTCTTATTCTGTCTCCATGATTCTTTGAATCTGATGACAGTTGCCAGTTGCCGTTTATCATCAAGCTTGCGGTGATACACTTTTTTGTTTGGTGAGAAAAATTTATTACATTTAGAATTAGCCCACTGGACTCAGTTTAGATGATCCCAATTTTGTTGGCAACATCCAAAGCATCATAATCAGGAGCAAGTCGAACATAGGCCTTCTTCTCTCCATCAGGCCTAATCA